AAAAACTCAGCTTTCAGCCTAAACCCAAAACCGTGAACTCTAACCCTAAGTTCACCCTGAATGTACTCCATAAACCTCACCCTAGGATCCTATCTAAAACTAAACCAGAACTCGTCAGTACTTAAGTACCCACCTGCATCAGCTTCAGAAAAAGACTCGCGAGGAACTCCCCGAATTCCTTCGTGTACTGCCTGGGCTGCAGAGGAGCGGTGACGGGTTTGGGAATCCTTTCCTGGTTCGCAGACGACTCAGAATTTATGACACACGCTAGCTTAAGGAGCGAGTGGCTGGGAGTTTTTGAGGCCCTGTGGCTTACCCGTGTGCCGTTTCACACCGTTCTTGTCGACATAGTGCACTGCCAGTCGTTCCTTAAATTGGCTCATTCGTTCTCGGCTCATGGCGCCAGCCCTCTCCTGCACAGCCTCGATGAGGCATTTGTCGTTTGACCACAGCCTGTGTCGCTTGGGTGTGGGGCCATTGAAATGGCCCATCCAAAAGCTGCCATTCCAAACCTGGGGCGAACGGATAGGAGCCGTTGCGTAACCGATCGGGCTACTCGACACAACATATTTGATTATCGGGCCTCGAATTTTCGCCAAAGATCTTGAAACCGTGGCATGTCCGGGAGGAAGCTACCATCTGGTTGCTCTATCACCCAGCGAAGCCCAAGGTACTGGGCCAGAGTCACCAAGAGGGCAACTCGAGAAGACAGCAAATTGCCCTGCTGTACGAACTCCAGACTTTGATTCCCATGCGGACGTAAGACACTTCGGCCTTGGGTATTTCGTGACCTCAAGCAGCGAGCCGTCTGTACTCACGACTCAGAGGCAGTAACTATATCAAATTCCTGATTCGTGCCAGGGAACATTAGAGTGAAAGATCGGCAGTCCAGAGCCATAACCACCAAGGCACCGGGTTTGCACCGCATCATCTCGAGCATAGCCAAACTAGGTTGGACAATCCACACTGAAAACCCATAATCACAGAAGACACTAGCAATATTTGAGCAATCAAGGCTCCAAAACCCAGCCGGCTCCAGGAGATCCATCGCCTCGCGGTCGTAGTCCCAATCGACGGATGCTCCACGAAGGCACACCTGGGCGGCTGATAATCTGGAGAGGTTGAGGTTAGCCATGGTTTTCACAATATTGTCAGTCAAAGCTTCGCAATGGGGCTCACAAATTGTACGTAGTAGGTGCATATGTAGTGACACTGCAGATTTGTCGAGCTGCCCTTCGAAAAGCAGCGGATAACTCGCCTTTGCCAGCGAAGATTTCCAGAAACTCGCGGTCCTCGAGCAAAGTTTAATAAGGGTGCTATATTAGAGTTTGAACTATATTCATTTCATATACTTCAACTATATCCGGGGATTAATTTTGGGTCCTTGGTCTTGGGGATCTTGTCATTGAAGATCAGAAGGAGAACCGCTAGCGTAAGGATGCCGGGTGCATCCACTCGCAAGAGCTCGGCTACCACCATCTCAAGGAACTGCCGGTATCTAGACCACTATAGCCACAAAAGCTCTCGACAAGAGATGAAAAGTTCACAAGCCGACAAGGCTGAACGACGATCGTTTGTCATGGCTCGGCTTTTCCGACTGATGCAGAAACCTCGCTTCGTGGTAATCCGACATGGCAGGCTTCCTAATTGCAAGGTTTAGAGCATATGGTTGCCATGGGTATTCACACAGCATCCAAAACGAAATAAGTTTGACTCCATGTAGGAGAAAACACTTCAGCTAGCAGCCGCCTAAGGCGGCCTGGAACGGGTGCACCTGACAGCCCTTGGCCACAAACCTGCGTCTCTTAAGCTCTGGGAGCGGCATCATGCTGAGCAACTCAGCTCTCTCCCGGCTGTTCTTCCACATGGCCCTGGCCTCTGAAGCAGAGTGCCCCTGCGCTTTGGCTTCCTCTCTGAACAGCTTGGATCGTTCCAGAAAGTTCTGGGGGACATAATCACCGTAGATGTGGTGAGGATTCTTTTCGGCACCCTTGGGCTGTCTCATTTTGGAGACCTTCTTGGACTCATCTGGTTTCGATTCGGACTCCATGGTTCGGGATGGAAGCTTTAAGACCTTGCAAAGCACTTTCTTCTTCGTCAGGTTGAACCGAAACCCTGTCGTGCGGGGCTGTGCAGAGGGCTGAACAGCTAGTCCATCGGGATCATCATCATCTTCATTGTCTGCAGAGTCACCGTGAACAGACTTGAAAGCCTTTGCATACTGTTCACTGATCGGGATGGGTCCAGGTGCCGAGGATGTTGAAGCCAAGCTGTCCAGAACCTGGGGCCCAAATATCCTACACCCCAGCATATCTTACAGGTGAAATTATGACATATTGAACAACAAACATCCAACAAGGCCTGTAGCAATCAAGCAACGTAGCTCGGAACGGTCTTTGGGCCTGGGGACTTCTCAGGTTTATTGAACTTAAAGCCCGGGCTCTTCGGAGCTTCGTTGAACAACCGAATGTCCGAAAGCTGCGCACAAAGCCGGCTGATCATGGAATCCTTGCTGGAGAGGCTGGCGGTCGAGATCGCCGAGGAATTCGATGAAACCGTTGACGAACCATTTGTATCGTCCTCGGACGAGGAATCATCGAGCTCGGCCTGGTTTGGCCCATCCTGGGATTAGAGATAAATTTGGGATCGTCGGGTGTATATGCAAACTCTATATCTGAAGGCTAAAGGTTTGGAATTAACGAGCAATACATTCGTGGTATCTACGTATATAACGGTTGCGAATCACGAATAATAAAGGTTGTCATTGTTTTTTGAAGCCGAGGGCATGGTGATAGTTCGAGAGAAAGAAGTTTTATTGGGGTTCGACCGTCTTTGTGGATGTCCAGGTATGGTTTGTTGCAGGAGAACAAAGTCCCTACTAGTTCAGATCGCCTGTATGTATGAGACCTGTGCCTAGTATTAAGTGTGCATCCCCAATCATATTAGAAACCTTCGAGAAGCTCCCTGCCCTCTTGCCACAAGCTGAATTCTTAGTTCGGAAGCAGTCTGGGGCTTATTCAAATTTTTGAGAGTCAGACCTTCAACAACCTAAGGCCGAGAGTCCAACCCTTCGATTTCCAACCCAGAGATCCGGGTACGTATCTCGTTCAACTTCTTCATCTTGCTCTGAGTTGCTCGCTTCATCAAGCGACGCATGCGACCAACCTGGACCAAAAATCAATATGGGCCCTATAATACTTTTGAATGCACACACTGAGCATTTAATTCAACCGAGTGACCAAGCGCTTAATTGCATCTCCCATGAGCAAACCCCAATCCTGAATACACTCCAGTGCCGACGACATTCCTCGAGGCCACAGCTGCTTAGAGTCATAGAAGCTGAGGATGGCCGCTCTGATGATGTATGCGCTTGCTCGTCGTATTCTGAAAACTGACATCGTTGCATAGATAACCTCAAGTTTTGGGAGTTTAGCGAAAAGCCCCTACAAACTGCAACATGAATATATGTTTTGGCCAGGGATCATCACCGTTCCGCGACACATCCTTCAACGTACACTTCTTTCCTTTGAACAGCTTCCCGGAATGGTCGACAACGAAGTTAAAACCTGCCTTGGCTTACCCAGATGAGGCATCGGAACACAGAAACATAAACCCCGACTTTAATCTGGGTTGCGTCGCAAAGGCTCTGCTGTCTGCCGAAAGCAGCAACCAGCTCTTCGACCAGGCGGGGTTCGATGAAAGTCGGCATGATTACGTAGAAGTGCTTAATGACAGTCAATCTAGCCA